CTTTAAAGGCCTTTTGTACAATGAAGTATTATTATATTCATTATTATATTCGTCCAATACCTTTCAGAGCATAAAACATAGCAAAACAGCCAAAAGGATATTTAAATTATTATCCAGGTGCAGGTCGAAAGTAACGTGATTGGATCAACAGCACATTTGATTGGTTGATGGCTTCAACCAAACAGTGACCGGTATCCTCTCACATAGCTAACTAAAGTTTCCTGAAGGGAAAACGGGATTTTGCCTTATGATGTTGATATAGACGTCACTATTTGCGTAAACGTACGCTCTAATCATTATAAACGAAACGGCTTTGGACAAAGACTCAAGAGGAGGCCTATTTGGAAAGCTTCTTTAGAAATTTACCGGACATTAGTAGCTTGCGTTTTCGGTCTTACAAAACCTAAAATCCCGGACATAAATAGTTGAGACTGTTCAAAAAAAGTTTATATTTTCCCTCTCTTTGCAAAAATAATTTGTCCCACTCTCCCTAATCAATGATGAATGTATGTTTTCGAAGCACAAATGATATAACTACAAATCCAACGTTAATTTAGGGGAAGGGGGGATTCGAGTTTACAGGGGAAACATAAAGTAGAAAATTGCGAAAATTGTGTTTTGTCTCAACAATTTTGTCCGGGATTGTCTAAGCAACTCCAAATCAATTCAAATGAATATAGCCTCTAATAAAATGGAACCTATTAAGTATTACATTAAAATAACGGGTAATATTTATTTTTCCATCAGGTAACCATTTGTTTCTCATCTGTCCGTCATTATTTTACCATAGTTTTTGCTAGCGATCTAAACCATAACATGTAGTACCATAAAAGTTTCCCATTAGTTAGTATCTGAAAACCTTTATAAAAATAGTGTACATCTATAATGTACCTTGTTAGCAAGGAAGGTCTGTTTTATGCTTAAGTTTTCTGTCACACGCTAATCATTTCTGTCTGCCTTTTATTTATTACACCATTCTTTATGTAAATGTTAGGCTGGTTACTAATACAAACGATTTCTATAATAATTCTATTGCCGGACCATGTCATTCTTTGTTCAAACTGCTTTAAAAACAAATCGCATAACTGAACTTGGGAAAATGTTCTGCCTAAACCTTAAGGCACCTTGCAAAAAACAGTATTTATATACCTCTATTAACCCCTGTCCTCGCTGACCCCCCCCCCCCCCCCCTATGCTATTTCAATTTAAACCATTATAATTGATTTTTCTTCTGCAACGTACCTATTTTATGTAATGTTTACCTTGGAGTTGATCATATCCGAAGTAAGCGCTCATTAAACAGAGCACAAAGACAACCCCGGACTATAATAGTTGAGACTTTTCAAGAAAAGTTGATGTTTTCTCTTTTCTTTCAAAAATAACTTTTCACCTCTCTCCATTCAACATTGATTCTTGAGGAAAGAGGGGGTTTCGAATTTACAGGTGTAACGTACAGTAGAAAATTGCAAAAATTTCATTTTGTCTTAACAATTTTGCCTAGGATTGTAGCCTATCTGTGACGTAACGGAGTAAACACTAACTTTACCTACGTATCCGACAGTGTCTGAGAATTGAAATACTCCAGAGGATGATATCCTTCCAAAAGTCGCTAAAAACAAAACAAGTATGATTATTTGAGAAGGCTGGTTCGCGACCGGAATGCTTCGTGGGGTTCAGAAAGCATATCTACTTCCCTGAAAATAAATAGAGTCAATCTTTTCTCTCGCGGGTTTAGTTGACGTGTTCGCGATAAGCCTTTTGCAAAAAATGCCAAATATTAAGTAATAAACTACCAGTAAAGCCTCTTTTTATACGGTTATAGCCCCCCACTTTTTTTAGACCCCCACTTTTTTAGACCCCCCCACTTTTCTCAACGCTCCGCGGGGCCTCTAATGAGGCCACTTTCACGAAAAATGATACGATTTTATATTTAATTTCGAGTTATGTCTAGTAATGAGGATCTGCACATATATACTATCTCCTTATAAATTGTACATATATACTGATGGACATACAAAAACAGTTTCTTGAAACATAAGCACAATCCCTGCTAAAAGTCTTGGAACACCAACAGCATTTTTGTCATTCACATTAATTGTTTCCCTTCTCCCCTTTGGAACAATCTCGGGTTTTTCATTCTCCATAGTAAAATACCAATCGAATGTAACTTAATTGTAATTTTGACACCAGGATGACGGGGCTGCGATTCAACATTGTTTTAGGCGTGATCTGATAATCGACTGATACTGCTTGAGCGCTCAAAGTTTGTAGCTATTCAAAGCCATATTTTTTACCTTTAACGCCAACAGCACCGCATACAGAAGCAGGAATTCGCACAGATCCCCCACCATCGACACCAATTGCCATCGGGACCAAACCTGGAATTTGGACCGAAAGATTTTAATCAGAAATCAAGTGCAAATCAGAGAGCCAATCCTAATATAAGGTAGCCACGGAAACTTCTCTAAATCAGACAACTATGAAAATTGTTGTTTAAAGCCAAATTGAAGTTCTATATCTCTCTTCTCTAATTTTCAGAAAAAGAAGACATTAGATTCCGAAAAGCAAGAAATGACTTATTTTCAGCCTTGTTTAATTTAAGCAGTATGGTCTTATTTTTAAGCAGCACAGAAATGACTAAATTTAAGCAATACAGATATTAACAAGTCAAACATTTTATATATCCAATAACCTTTAAATTTGTATAAAAGTATTTCAAAATCTATTATCTTGTTCTAACAATACGTTGTGTTTCAGGAACTGCAGTAAAAAATGCGTAACTATACACACCACAGGCAACAGCAGCACCTGACCCACTTGAGCTTCCACCACAAAAATGGTCTGGATTGTAAGGATTGCGACTCGTGCCATGAAGCCTTAACGAGAAGTAGACATAAGGTAGGAAACTTGCAAAACATTATTTTAAACAGAATGAAACAGTAGAAGATTCGGTAACTGATCTTGACTAGCTGACTGGTTCCCGTGTGACAAAGGCCAACAGTTTTTGCATTTACATTGTGTGAGATTTGCAATCTTAATGGATGAGACGCTTCGATGCTTCAAGAGCAGCATGAAACTCTCTAGGCCAGGTCATGACAGGATTCTTACTTCTTTGGCAAAAGTCAGTTTATCTTTGGAAAGGCTTTGAAGGTGAAAGCGTTTGGATCTTTACATCTATTGTACACTTTGCTACACTACACTACACTACACTACACTACACTACACTACACTACACGACACGACACGACACGACACGACACGACACTACACTACACTACACTACACTACACTTCGCTACACTACACTACACTACACTACACTACATTACACTACACTACACGACACGACACGACACGACACGACACGACACAACACGACACTACACTACACCACACTACACTACACTTCGCTACACTACACTACACAACACTACACGACACGACACAACACGACACTACACTACACTACACTACACCACACCACACTACACTACATTACACTACACTACACTACACTACACTACACTACACTTCGCTACACTACACTACACTACACTACACTACACGACACGACACGACACGACACGACACAACACGACACTACACTGCACTACACTAC